CTCTCTCTCTCTCTCTCTCTCTTTCTCTCTTTCTCTTTCTCCCTCTCTCTTCCTCTCTCATCATGTCAATTTATCTCGGCATTATTTCACCCTACTACTCACTTCATGGGCCAGTCATCTCCGACCTTGGGACGTCACACTCCACACAGGAAGGTTATTACACAACAGAGAACGCCACATGTTTCTGATTAACTGCTTCTTGTGTTTTGTGAAGGGGTTTGCCTTTTGTGCGTTAGAAAAGAAAAGAAAAGAAAACGAAACAAAACAAAACAAGCAAAACGACTTATTTTACACTTTCATTTCCTCCACACACCCAGAAAATTTAAGCTAGGATAGGTATGGTGGGCGCTCTGATGTGGCCCTCTGCGACGCTTTTTGGTGTAAGCATTTGGCTTTTTGCTTTGCTCTCGAAGTTCGATTCCCTCTATGGGAATATATAATGCATTCCCAGCCTCTCTCCAACCGGGAAATGGCGTACCTTTTACATAATGCATCTAGTCGCTACTTCAGAATTACAATGTTCTATCATTGTTTTGAGAAATTTGACGTAATTTTTTTTTTAGTTTCACAACATGTCAAGCTGCAATTCTTTAGATATCTTGATAACGACTCCGCATAATCTTCCGATTTTGATAGAGCAGATAGTTTCTGACCTCATGGTCTTAGTAACTCAAAACGGCCAAAAATGTCAGATAGAACGTTGTAATTTTAAGGCAGCGTAGTAGTGTGTTCAATGTCAGCCACAACGACAGCTCCGACTCCAATAACCTGTCATACGATTCGCCCCAGGCATTTCCCAGAACGCTGGGGTTTTTGCAGACTTCACTCCCTGAAAGTTTGCTGCAACCTAATCGCCTGCTTCGATTCATGGGCACATGCATTGATTGATACTTAGTCTGTTGCAGAAAAACGTCTCGATCTTTCCTCAGGAGATCTGAATACTGAATAGGGAGTGGGCTTCGTGCATTTCGATTTTGTTATTCCAGGTTTGAAGCAGGCTATTTTTACCCTCTCAACTTTTGTGAAGTGTTTAACTACTTTTCTAAAGCCTATCGTTGCTTATGATTTTTTTCCCTCTTCCTTTATTCCCCAGACGAAAGAGACGCTGTGCAAAAGAAGACGTTCACAAAATGGGTCAACAAGCACTTGCTAAAGGTAGGTGTCAATACAGCATAGAAAGTTATATTCTGCAGTTGTCTGTGTTACGTCTTTGGAAGTGGAGTGTTTCCCCGTGTGTTGTTGGCGTTATGCCACCCTGTCTCGTTCGCCTCTTCTATAATAACTTTACAACGTTGAAATAGGCGTTATACTCATGAAATATATTGGTCTACCTTGTGGCTGAAAGGGAAAGTTGAGGGAATAGATTTGCATTCTTTGCTGTTAAAATTTGGTATTAATCGTGTTCACAGTGTGTGTGTGTGTGTGT